GCTGCTGCTGCTGCTGCGTCGAGAACAATGACCAGCAAAGTAATTAGCATAAGTGGCAAAAATGTAAGATGTGATGTTGATTTTGTTGCTGCCTTAGTAAATTTGTCTGTTTTGATTATTTTTCCGTTCAATGGCTTATGGAGGGTCAATGACATTGTGTTAAATTTCTCTAGGTATGTGGTTTGTGGTTATGGCTTTGCAAAAAAATGCTACTGGAGTAAATCGTATACCGATATTATCGCCTTATTCTAGCAATTTTACTTAATTTTATCTTTTCGCACTTTGTTTCCTTACACTCCGTGTATGTTGCTCGTTTGAATGTGTCTAACTAACTAAAATGTAAAATAAAAAGACATGTTGGTTTTACTAAATTTTTACGTGGTTTTAGGTATGCAAAAAAGGCCAGAAAGCTTTTGTATACATTATTTCTTTCTTTTATAAAATATAGTTTTTTAGAGGGACTTCGATGATCCATAGTGCGATAGTGAATACGTTTTACATTTAGACTAAAATTCTATTCGCAGTCGTGCATTCACCCTATTATACACAATTTGCTTATAAGTTGGGCATATGTACGCCCTGCAAGCTCTGAGCCGCACAGTAGGAAATGAGCGGGATTGATTCAAACTGTCGAAGATTTTCAAAGTCCAAATAAATCATTGATAGGCACACTATTCGAAATGTATAGAAAGCTTAAAAGAGCTCTGCCCAAGGGCAAAACGGTGCCCATCGCTGAAATAAATTAAAAAAAAAACGTACGCGGATGGCTTCCTACATACCATTACTAGATTACTTACGAAAAAATAAGTCGAATAGGATTAATTTTGCAAGTACTAATTACTTACTTACTTACTTACTCGAGAAGCCTTAAAATTGATATGAATATAAAAATAGATAAAAAAACTTTTTAAGTTAAACGGTTTTATGTTAAACATACATTGCAATGTTTAAGATAAATGTACTAAAAACCAAAAAATAATAAAATAGATACAGTCGTGGGAATTATAAACATATGCATAGACTAGACTAAAATAAAACCGTGGGGCACGTCATTTGTCTACAATCGTTGATTAAAATGTTTGTTTTGTAATGTTACACTATAATTAGGCAGTTGTTCAACCGACAACGATGGACGTGTGATAAGTAGGGCTAGAATGTGGAAACAAGCTAGCAAGCTCGATTATAAGCGAGTTTTAGGGTTTCATAGTGGTGAGCGAGTAGTACTTTTATCATATGTTTTGTCGATTAAAGACAAACTACGAGCAGTGAAACGATTCCTCGCCAGCCAGCAGTGTGAATGTCCAACGATAAACTAGTTGAAACATCTCTTTTATTTACATGGAGTGTATAACTATTGGAATTTCCATGAGCAAGAAAATAGTAAGTAATTTCCTCACCGTCTGCGGGCCAACTGCCTAACGACGAATTAAACTATTCTTCTATCGCACATTAAGTCGATAATTTGTAGACAATTGACGTGCCCCCCGGTTTTATTTTAGTCTAGTCTATGCATATGTTTATAATTCCCACGACTGTATCTATTTTATTATTTTTTGGTTTTTAGTACATTTATCTTAAACATTGCAATGTATGTTTAACATAAAACCGTTTAACTTAAAAAGTTTTTTTACCTATTTTTATTTATATTTTTTTTTACCATTTTGTTCCCACGAGTAATGGACATTTAAACGGTCGACCCCCCCAGAGGTCCAATAAAGGGGCAAGGCTATGTACAACAAGATGCGCCTGAGTCTTGAGGGGAAAACGCTAACGACATATCATTTTTATCCACCCTAATGCCATACAGTTCTCGGCGCGTTTTAACCTTTCACCTTAACTTGGGTGGTGTACCGCTAACGACGTATCATTTTTAGCCACCCTAACGCCACACAGTCCTCAACACGATACAAAATCTTGACTTGGGTGGTGGATTCAGGCTGGATTAATCAGATACCTAAATTACAGATTCAATTTCTAAATTTAAATCTTATTATTATACGCCATTTAGTGGCTGCGCCCATCTTAAATATTGAGGTTTTATAGTGCACTGTATTCTTCTTGTCAAGCCCTTTTATTTGATACCCATATTGGTGGGATTGATAAAAAATTGTTATCAGCCATTTGGTAGCGGCGGCCATCTTAGATTTCAATTTTGCATAGTAAATTGTATTCTACTTGTTGAGACCTTTCATTTGATACCCATGTTGATGGGATTGATAAAACCTACGTTATCCGCCATTTTGTAGCGGCCGCCATCTTGGATTTCAATTTTTTATAGTTTATTGTATTCTGCTTGTTGAGCCCTTTCATTTGATACCCATATTGATGGGATTAATAAAAAAAACATAAATTATCCGCCATTTTGTAGCGGCGGCCATCTTGAATTTATAATGATAATGAATATACATAATTGTATTGTCACCAAAATCCAAAGTGTATACAAAATTTCAGATTAGTCGGTTGACAGGAAGAGGGTGAAATTTGAATTACTAAATTTGACCCAAGAATAAAACAAACGGGGTGAGCTAAATAAAACCGTTTAAAAAATTGTTATCAGCCATTTGGTAGCGGCGGCCATTTTAGATTTCAATTTTGCATAGTAAATTGTATTCTACTTGTTGAGACCTTTCATTTGATACCCATGTTGATGGGATTGATAAAACCTAAGTTATCCGCCATTTTGTAGCGGCCGCCATCTTGGATTTCAATTTTTTATAGTATATTGTATTCTGCTTGTTGAGCCCTTTCATTTGATACCCATATTGATGGGATTAATAAAAAAAACATAAATTATCCGCCATTTTGTAGCGGCGGCCATCTTGAATTTATAATGATAATGAATAAACATAATTGTATTGTCACCAAAATCCAAATTGTATACAAAATTTCAGATTAATCGGTTGACAGGAAGAGGGTGAAATTTGAATTACTAAATTTGACCCAAGAATAAAACAAACGGGATGAGCTAAATAAAACCGTTTAAAAAAACGATATTTTCATTCCCAATACCAGGCGTTCATACATGTGAAGTAACAAATTTTCTATTTCTACGTACAAAATTGTTTGTATAAATTTTTAAATTTCCAAAATTCTACTTTGTAAAGTTCAAAGGCTTCTATATAAAATAAAAAATAAATTGAAAAGTTTGAGAATGACGTATATTCCCTACCAGTAGAGAAATAATCGGTAG